TTGAAATTGGAACTGCAATGTGAGTGTGTTTTGAATGGCAACTGAAACACTTTTGGATGAAGTACTGCTCAAATTCTTCCAGGCAGCTGCTCTTCTGAAGAGTGATGGTTGGTTGGTAGGTTGGTTTTTTTTTTTTCTTGTTTCTTCTAGCATTCATGTCAGGATTTTTGTATCAAGCTTCACTTCTAAATCTGACCTCTAATCTCAGGTTTCTGGTCAAGAAGTGTGGACTTCAGTTTAGAGTAAAATCTAGTACTTACGATAACTCATTGGACTGTACATTCCCCAGTCTGTAGAGAGCTTGAAATGGTTCAGTTCAGCCACACGGGCTTTCGCAGCTTCACGGTTCCTCCTTGTCGATTCGTTATTCTAAAGTTGGGAAATCCTTGCAATCTCTTCAAGATGTGTTGGGATATGGAAAGCCTTGCAAATCCCTGCAGTCAGGGGCTGACCTCTTGCGTGCTGGGATCTGCCTGCAACCGCCTCTTACTTCCAACCTTTTCCTGAATGTTTCCTGAGCGCTCTCTGGCTTGTTTCAGGGACCAGCTTGGCAGCGTATCAGGAATCAATAGCTGGAGTCCTTCAGAAAAGAAGTTGAAGATGCTGAAGTATGAATTCTGGTGTCCTGGTTGTTAGAATCTGTTAGCAGAGACGTCAAGATTTGAAGAAGAGAGATGTGAAAGCCGGTACAAGTGTTCTCTTTCTTTGTACTCCTGAGTTGAGAAATTAGGATCTGAGTTGGCTTCCCCACCCTGAAGGCTGTTGCATAGCTTCCCATGCATCTCGTGCCATGGGAGATAGCTGGTGACTTTTGTCAGTATTTGGAGGCACAAAAAGTGGGTCGTGAGGTGTGGAGACAGGAAAAAAAGATATTTAATGACATGAAAAAAAAATACTGCCCGTAGAGCTTGAGTTATCACTGTGGCACTTCGTGATGGGGATTCCAGTCCTGTGGGTCTTAAAAATACATTTTCATATGTGTATACTCTGTAAAGAGTCTTCAGTCATGTGGAGGTCTGAGTTATTGGCACTTTGGGAGAAATGAGATCATTCATTTTAATTCCTGATGCTGCTTACTGCTAACATTTTGCTGGTTATCTCAGAGACTGTTGGCAATATATTTATGACTTCCTACTTAGAATATTCTGTTACAATCAAGTATGTCAGAAGCATTGAGTGCATATTTCTGCCTCTCTTTTGATGCTGATTTGCTTTATAAAGGCAGTATTGAAGTTCTGGCTTAGCAAAGGAATACCAAGCACTAAACAATTTTTGCCTTTATTTTAAGCCTCTGATTGCTCTTCGGCTTATAACTGTGATTTCAGCCAGAAATGGTGCATGGCTAGGAATCTTTCTAAATTATCTTCCATCTTTTTGCTGGAGACTAAAGAGGAAAGTCAACTGAAGTGCAAAGGAAACCTTTTTTTTTTTTTTTTTTTTTAAAGCTGAGTCATTGTAAGATTGGCAAGTTGCAAGGGAAAATTTAAATCTGGTGTTTACTTGCTATAGTTAAAAATTACATCCTCCTTTACAGAAAATTATTAGAGTGAATTATGCTTTCAGTCTCCTTGTTATTGTGGAAGAGTAAAAGAAAATATAGTTATCTTGGTTTGGTTTTTTTTTAATATATATTTGGTCTAGGACAGGAGTAAATAAAAGGAAGGTGCCACTTTTTTTTACTGATAATTCTCTCAAGACAGGCCCTAAAAATATGGTTGTCATCAATTGCTGGTTTTCACAAATGGGATGACTTTGTATTGGTTTTACCTCATTATAGGCAAATAACTAAATCATGGGATGTCTATTTCTGAAACCTGTGATCTTTTACTTAACTTAGGTGTGAGTTCTGGTTGTTTTCAAGATATATACAAACATTAATACCCATGAAAAAACATGTAAAATCTTTTGCATAGTGTAAAGTAATAGGTGTTATCCATAAACATTAATGACTCGGACTCCACTTCTGATATGGTAAATTCTATTCTTATTCTGCTGATGGAAAAGAAAAGAATAGAAAACAGTGATTTTGCCAAACGTGAAGTCCAGTACAGTTTGAGAATGGACCACAAGTTATTTGGAATCCCAATTCTGTGTTCTATAAAGGCCATAATTTGTCTTGCAAAAAACCTGGCTAATGTTAAAAAATGTGTTATCTGTCTTTTTGAAAATAGATGAAATAGATTGCAGAAGAACATATTTGTCAACAGGAAGTAACCATAAACTTAGGAAGCATGCAGGCGTCGAGCACGGCTGAACAAGACTGTAAAGAATAAAGACAGAACCTCTTTCCCCTCGCTTTTCAGGCTGTAAGTAGGACCAGAGAACACCTTCTTTCACGAGGGTTGAGCAGGCTTTTCAAACCCTTCGGTGTGTGTGCAGTATAAGTCTTGGTGCTAGGCTTTCATGACACAGACCGTGGGCCGCGTGGAGTGAAGCTGCAGGTTGTCACCAGCCCACAGCCATGGCACTTCCACTCCCAGTGTCAAAGGAGTATTTAGATATTAGTAAGATTTGATGTAGGTCAAATCAAACCATGAGAATTTCAAGGTGTCCCTGTGCAGGTTTTTGTCGTGCTGCCAGATGTGCTTTACTGAACTGTTGCATGCAATGAAGGACCCTTTGTGATCGCATTGATCAAGATAGTACTGCGGGTGTGTTCCTCATCCAAGGGGAACAGTGAGGTCAGTAGGAATGAATGTTGTGCTGCAGCTCAGACTGGAAAAGAGATACTTTGGTGTCCTGGGAAGAATACGTCTCTGACTTCTGCTTTGGGGCATTCAGTCTAACATGGCAGTCTTAATGTTATGTGGCAGGTGACTTTCTTGTCTTCCTTGTTGGGCTGCCCTACTTATTCAGGTGAAGGCCGGTTCTGTACTTTGTCCTCTGCTTTTTCCTGTGGCAGGGGATCCTTTCTGTTGTCCCAGTACGTCTGCTTCAGCCTTGCCCGCTGTCTCCTCTTGGCTCAGAATTACCTGCTGTGTTGCTTCTTGTAGATGCGGCCAGGCGTGCCACCCTTCAGAAAGCTGGAGGCCTGGTTTCAGGTCACCTGCACAAGTTTTTTGGATATGATGCATAGCATGGGAGCCATTCGGATGTTGGGCTTTCAGATATTTGGATATTGTGGTGGGAATGAAGGCAACCGGGAAAGCAGCAGACAGGAAAATCCTCCTGTCTGCTGCATCTGCCAGTAGCCCTGGAGGAATAAAACTGAGATGCTCTCTTAACTCTTCTCTTCCACTTTTTGGGTTAGGTCTGCTTGTTTGTTCAATGAGTGAAGAGTATTTTCTGTCTCGGAACACGTGCAGCAGTGGGATGGCTCTCATACGCTGCTCTCAAAAACTCAGAGAAGCTAATGTTGGCATTCTCACCGTTTTCCACATCTTCTATACTGACACAGTGACATTCCTTGTAAATTGATGGCAAAACATATGATCTTTCTTTTTTTGGCCTTGCTTCCCTCCACAGTTTAAGTCTTCTTATGAGGTGTATCTCTGATCAAAGGATATTAACAAAATCTTTATCTTCTTGGTTTTACAAATTTGGCTTAAAAATTCTCTACTTGAAACTTGGCAAACACTGTCTTGGTATGCAAACAGTGGGGATGGGATAGGGGAAATCACTTGGCTGTTGAAAAACTACATATGGGAAAGTCACTGGAGCTTTCAGTGTTTTATTTATAATTCTGCAAAGGCCTCTTCTAATTTGAAAAATAGAAGAGACCAAATAGTGGCTTCTGGAAAGCAAACAGCTAGACTTTTCTGTGAGTATTTTTAACGCAAATATTAAC